GGGGGGGGGGGAAGAAGAGAGCTCTATTGCACTTCTGTAGACACACTTCCTAGTTCCAGAAGCCTTGAGAGACACACACAAGTAATAAACCCCACAGCTTCCAGATACATCAGTTTGTGTGTGTTTGCAGATTGGAGAGTGCACTGGATTAGATGACAGCTGAATTTTAACTCACTAGTGTGGTTCTTTTGAGAAACATCTAAGAACAGTGAGTTGGGCATGTCTCACTACCTTCAAGATTAACTGTGCAAGTTTATCACGTTTTGCCATTTTACACACAAGTAATAAACCCCACAGCTTCCAGATACATCAGTTTGTGTGTGTTTGCAGATTGGAGAGTGCACTGGATTAGATGACAGCTGAATTTTAACTCACTAGTGTGGTTCTTTTGAGAAACATCTAAGAACAGTGAGTTGGGCATGTCTCACTACCTTCAAGATTAACTGTGCAAGTTTATCACGTTTTGCCATTTTAGCAAGATGGCCGGACTACAAATCAAACGAGGCTCCCAGCAGTAATTCTACAGGCCAAATCCATGCTTGAAGTTACACTCCTGAAACCCCACTGTTAATTTTGCCTTCATATATGCGTCAGCATTGAAAATTAGAGGTTGGACGGGAATAGTGAAGGGCATGAGTTGACCTGTGAAGTCTTACTAAGGGGTATGTGCGTGCGCACACACGGGAAACTGGCCCAACACTCCCACTAATACAAAACAAGAAACCAAGTATTACCTAGCATTCTAGGACATCACTAACATGTATTTGTTGCACACAGCACATCTTCTACAGAAAGCTATACATTGCCTTCACTGGGGTATGTTAAGATTAAGTGCAGAGATAAGCCTTCTCCCCTAACCAAAATGGCCAATTTTTGTGTAGCATGAGAGGTCATCTTTTCATCCAGCAAGAAAGTTGCCTATTAACTTACAGGTCAGACTGACCCATCTCCACTTTGTGAAATCTAGCATCTGTGTCTGCTTTAAAACAGTCTGTTTAAACTACCAGAAGCTTTTAGCAGCTGTTTGGCTACAGACTAAGCTACCAACTGCTGAACTGGAAAAAACATACATATACTTCTGGTTAGCTATCCCCTAAATGGAAGCAGTCCTGTTACCAACATCTCCCCAGAAATAATCTTAATATTACCAACATCAGTCTCAGGGCCAGTATATTTACCATCTCCCCCCCCCGCCCCGCAATGTGTCATGTTTAGCCAATGACTGGTACAAAAATCATGAGAATCATGCTGAGAAGCTCCCAGTTCACTCAGTGCTGTGTCATTGATCCATTTATATTTTAACAACACCAGGAATTGGTTACTTACATTGAGCTTGGGTTGTGAAGGTAAAGTTCCACTTGCCTTCATACTGCTGACTAGTTTATTAAATGCAGACATATCTCCATCTTTGAGTGGTCTGGAGCCAGCTACATTCAGTGCCTCCATCTGTTCTGCCATAAACGGAATAGTAATTCTCTCTTCCTGGTCCATTTTCAGGCCTTTTAGCCCAGCTTCTACTTCTTCCACTGAAAGTACAACTCCTGAATGTGCTGAGAAATAGAGGGATGAAGACAGTTAAACTAGGTGTTCAATTTACAAGCATATGCACCAGTACCTAGAAGGGGTGGGGGGATTTAATGGTGTGCCACGAATGTGAAGCTAATTCTGTCTGTCACTTTGGTTTCAAATCACCGTTTGAGCTACATTACAATATTTTAATTCAGGCTAAAAATAGCCGAGCCACGAACCATTAGGCACAAGTCTAAATTTTAGATTAAGATTTTAGCTCTTGAGACTTGGAATTTTAGGAAGCAAAGACATTTCCTACTGCAGCTTTGACAGTACATGCTTAGCAGGAAGTACAGTCAAATAAGTTAGGTTCTTGTAAATTCAAGTCATTTGCTACAGTTACACATGCACAGGTTATGATTTAGTACTTCTCAAGTACTTCAGAAAACCAGTTTTACAACTACAGAAGTAATGGCTATTGTTTGAAGAGAATACATACCTGGAAGCCTACACACTTTTCTAAAGTCACATTAGAATTTGAATGGCATGTTCTCTCAATGGGGTGTGTTTCCCCAAAGAAAACTAAAGCTATTATGGATCATGGGAAAGATTTGTATATGCACCAACAAAGTAAGGAACAAGCACCGTTTATTATTTTCTCTGTATACCATTCTTTGTTGTCAGATGTTCACATCTGTGTGTAATCATGCGAGTACTTTGAATAAGGGAGGGAGGAAAAATAGCCATGTCCAATGGGTTTTGTAGGAGATGGTGGTCTAGAGAAAGCGAGACTTACTGGAAATATGGCCACAAGGCAGGGGAGGGATGCTATTCTGACACGCACTACAGGGCATGAGGAAAGAGACTGAATGCTGAGGGGATACTAGCAACTTCTCTAAGTGCTTGATTAGTATTTTAATCAATCAATGGGGACCAAACAGGTCAAGAGTTTTGACACTCAAGTGAACACAAAAGTCTGTGCTATGATTGGGAGATCTTTACCCTTGGTCTGTGATAAATATGTAACACAGGCCTGCACAACTCGGAAAGTGGCGAGGGCCATATTACTCCAAAGAAAACAGCTGCAGGCCACAAGTAGGGTTGCCAGATGCCCTCCCAAAATATACTGAACACACAGGCTAAAAATCTTTTTTTTTGGGGGGGGGAGGGAGAACCCACGTGTGTCGGGCATACCAAAAAAACCCCACACTGCCCAGCTTCAGCACGCAACCACAGATTTTGTTGAAAAAATTCACACACAAGGGAAAGACTCCCAGTCACACACAAAGAGAAGAAATATCTCCGAACGCGCAAATACCGGATGGTCCGGTAGAAAACCAGACACCTGGCAACCCTAGTCACAAGGATAGGTTGGGGGCAGGGGGATACTTTATTAAGAATTTTTCAATTAAATCAGGCCTGCACAACATACAGCTCCCAATGCCCTTACCCTCTCCTCCCCCAGCATCACCCTGTCCCCCCTCCACTCCTGCCCCTTTTCCTCATTGTCTCCACTTGGCCCCCTGGCATTTGTCTCTCCTGCACCCTGTCCCTTGGTGCCTACCCCTTTCTCCTGACCTGCCCCCCTCCCCTCAGCACAAGCCCCTTCCCCTCCCCTACCTGGCTTCTGCCTTCCAGTTTGTGGAGCTGCCAGAGACTTTTTGAATCCAGCGGTCACCGGCCGTGACATCACGATGCCACATCACGCCAGCATCCCGCCCTCTGGCTCGCACCCCGCCTCCTCACACAGGCAGCCCGGCGGCGAGAATTGCAACACTTCCCCCTACCCAGCAGCACTCCACTCCTCTGCTTGGCTGGCAGATTGGATGGGGCCACACAGTGAGCCCCTGCGGGCCACATGTTGTGCGGGCCTGATGTAACGTTAGAAGGCTGTTCTGGGAAAGGTAGAAGTCGGAGTAGAGATTGAGACCTAAAAATATTTAGTTAAGCCAAAATGGGGAGAGCTTTGCTCCAATGTTCACCAGGTACTTGCTGCTCCACAAACAGGATGCTAGTCAGAAATGTTTGCAATACTTGGTTGGATGAATTCCCTGTTTCGCCATATTTCCACCACTCAAATCAAAGCAGTATTTAAAGTTTTGCTCAACACAGGAATTTAAAGTTTAGATGGCAATACATCCCGCTTTCCAATATGGACTGAAAGATTTGTAAGGTAGACATCAAGTTTCACAATAGTATATGAACTTACGTTCAGTTTGTGTATGCACATGCAACAGTATCAATTTGCATGCTCATTGGGCAGCTGTGTGCATGCACTTAAAATTGGCACTGAATACATTACTAGAATGAATACGGAAAAGGTTACATTGGCTCCAGCAGAATAGAATCAGTTCCTTT